TCAGTTCATATTCGAAACAGTTCAAATATAGTTTCAGTTAGTGACCAAAACGTGCCTGCGAGAAAATTCTGAAGGCGAAATGGAGAAATACATGGTTGTCTGAATAAGTATCGGTATCTCGAACCATGAATCATTCAGACAACCGTGTATATAACAATGAGGCCAGAATCAGAAACCTAAAAAATTATTCGTCGAAAAGGAGAAAGTAGGAATTAAAATGGTTTCGATCAGGAATCAACTGTACGTTGACTTTTAAGCAAAACTTCCATGCAGAAATCGTTACACCATAAGCATACCCCCAATAAACACTCTGCGGCAAAATGTTCTATTGCTCGCGAACGTAATTTAATTTAACCGTGGGTTAGCAGAGAACGTAATTTACATTATAGACTGAAAAATAGCAGAACCACGGTTTATTTTATACACAAAGCAAAAGGTGGTCAGTCAGGAAACTGAACGCTACTGACTTTTCACACCGTATCTCACGCGCGTTCTCCAAGGCTAAGATGTAGATAAAGTTCGAAGGTCGTGAGGGTCGCCTGTAGCTGATGGTAATTCAGAATCATATGCGTCGGATTATCAGCGCACGAATTAAATCCACCGTAATTTACAGATATTCTGCCAGCTATTATTTAGTCTTAAAAATGCATTCCTAGAGTTAGTATTTTTTACAGTCACTTCTTTTCACCGTTTTTTAGCAAATAGGAGACATGCCTCATGAAGGACGTGGAAACAGCTTGTTCTTCCCTACGAAACTCATTTCAGTGTGCACCAAAGACGTAAATTCTGGCCACTTCTCTAAATAAAGATGGCCTTAGGCGTGATGGAGTTCTGCTTGACTCCAACTTTCTCATCCTGGATATGTCCCCAACAAAATGCCGCAGCGGCAGTAATCTCAAACTTCCATCTCATTCAATCCCAGTATTTTCCGGCCTTTCAAAGTCATCTACTCAAACAAGGCTTCAGAGTTTTTTTTACAAAACTCAGAACCCGTTTAGTGTGGACCCCACAACTAGCTGAGACAAAACTAACGTTGTTAATAAAATTAACTGTGATATGATTCGTATCGGAAAGGCTTATCTTCTTCATCTCTATATTTCATGACCGCTTCTACTTTCGGGGCGCGAAGACAGACGAGTCAGACAGTGCTTCCAACGTTCCCAAAGACACATGTTCCTCAAGGTAGGAATTAAGGAACATAAAGATGTATTCAGAAGGAATCCTTCAGAACATTCTGGCGATGTTGGACATGTAGAATGCAGACAGTTTTAGCAGTAAAGTATTACGATTCTTGACTCTAAAAGAGTCAAGATATGGCTCTTTATTAAAGAATTTGTTCCCCATTTAACTCAACAAGCGAAGGATGTGGAACAACTACATCAGTTCTGTGGACATCTGTGCAATCTGGAAGTCCTGCTGCGATTTTCACCCAAATTTTAATTTCGTTTCTCTTTAACACCAACACTTTCACCGTTTCCTTTACTTTTCATCCCTTGTGCTTTCACAATTGCGCTCTTTCCCACACGCTATTTCGAAAATTTTTCTGCACTTACTGACTGCATTTTTACCGTTACTTTATTGGTGAACTTTCGTAGCATCAGAATGGTGGCTTC